GCATGTGTGCTACGCGCGTGTACATGAAAAAAAAGAGGATGCGCGTGTGTGCATGCATGTGTTAATGCATCTGTATCTGTGAATCCATACCGTGTTGTGATTGTGTTGCCATATTACATGCACTCGTACGTATTATTTTTTTCTCTCTCGTATGTTATATCATTACGTGTGCGTGTTTCAGTCATGTACAGTGACAGAAAAAAGGGGGTTGGGGCGGAGCGGGGGAAAGAGTAAGGAAGAAGTATTTGTGTATAGGTGTATCTGTGTATTTCTTATCTTTTTTTTATGTATATTTTGTATGTATATATCTTATTTGATCCGTTTGTTTGTTTTTTTTTTTACATACATACATATATATACATATACATGCATACAGACATATATACATACATACATACGTGTATATGTATATGGATGTATGTACACATATGTACGTTCGTATGTACACACTCGTGAGTTTCATAAAAATATATAAAAGAGAGTGTCTATGTATACATATATATGTGCATATATACTTATAATGTATATTTAGTCATATCGATACATAGTCGATTAATACTCAATTTGTATGGAAAAGGGTGTTTTTTTATCGTAATTATTATATATATTCACACATATACATACATACATATATACACATACACACGTGCATGCATACACGCGTACACACATGCATATCTACATACAAACACACACACGTGCATACATATATGCACGTATAAATATGTGTATATACGCGTACATAGATACGCGCATATGTATACAATTATATACACATATGTATATACATGCATAGATGTATACATTCATACATAAATGTGTGCATACATAGATACATACATACGCACGTACGTGCATAAATTCATACATAGATACATATATACATACGTACGTACCTACATACGTACATACATCCATAGATGCATACACGTTTATGTATAGAATCTGTACAAAGTGCTTGATTGAGATTTTTTTATCATTAGCCGCAAAAGAAGACACTCAAGGTAAAGTTTACATATAGTCCTGCACTCCTGTTCGTATCTATCTTTTGTAACGCTGCACATATCATTTGCAAATTTCATCTAAAACTAAGCATACGAGGTGATTGTTGCATGTATAACAGACTATAACCTTTTTCTTGATTACACAAAAATTGAAATAAAAAATATATCATACATACATAATTAGCAAATAAACACGCTAAATTAATATTCGTTTCTTTTAGAAATATCGTGACGTCTATCTATAATATTTATTTATATTTGTTTCGTTAAATGCAAATAGAAAATATAGTGCTTTGTATTATCGTTAATCCTTTTTCATTATTTATGTAAAAATGCTGCAATAATGGAATAAGAAGATTAATATTTTACAAGCCCATTTAGAGAAATAACATATGTGTATATACATAACTGTGCTAAATATTTTATTTTTCTGGTATAGATTTATATAATTAAATATGATATCAACTTTTTATTGCATAATACATATGTAATTACAAAAAAAGTTGCAAATCACGTTTAAAAATCACGTATTACATTTAATAATATAAATATCTTTATCAGTAGACTTGCACACTGATCATAGAGCGTTATATAAACTATTTATTTCAATATTTCTGTATTTATAAATCAAGAAAAGAACAGAAGAACATAGAGAAGTATACATAATCATAATAAAATTAGATATACAATGATAAAATTGCAAATATTCTAAATCATATATCACACTTCTTGTAAGTCTTTCATTTTCAGAATAAAAGTTGTTGTCTGCTCTAGTTGCACGAATCACCTACATACATACGCATATACAGATACATGTACATATATGTATACATATTTCCATTTGCTGACAAGGCAAGATACAAAATCACGATACAGGAGACGAACACACGACTGTCTTTGCAAAGTGAACAATGCATTTATAATGAAAGGACCAAAACGGTGGTTCCTGTCAGTGTGATTTATATCTCAATCAATAATCGTATTTCTTCCTCTTTCCTCCTCGTTCCGCATTTTCGCTTATAGTTTACGTCAAATGACAACATATTCACCTGTTCTGTACCTATTTACATATCCTGAATGAGCTACAGCGATGGTATACGTTAAGTCGCGAAGGCGATTACAATTCCTTAGCGATCAGCCTTGAAGATGTTCTCAAGCATTTTTATTAGTTAAGCTGTTTTGCTTCGCATTGTTTTAAGTATATTTTTTTTTTCTTTTTCTGTTTTCTTCCTGTACTTCTTTTGTATATTACTGAATGCATAAAGGGGCGTGGGATATACACAACCGTTTTACGCTTCAGAGATAACCGTTCAGTCCTTATTCAGCCTTCTATTGAAGACGTTATTATTTCTTCGTCTTACGAAGATTTAGAAAGCTTAACGTGTAGCTACCCTCGGACCGTTTTTCATCATACCGCATCCCGATATCCCTTTTGCCATTTCTATATTTCTTTTTTCCTCTTGCAGATTATTCCTCTTTCCTCCTCCTTCTTCCTTTTTTCTCTCTTCACATATGTCACGATACTTCTTTTTTCTTTTTCTACATTATTTTTTTTTACCTTCTTCTTCTACTCATTATCACAAACAAGCCTCAACGTAAAAAATGTTCGAACACGATGTGAAAATAAATCACGCAGCGATAAATAGCAAAGAACAGAGAAATCTGTTGGACACACTAGAGGAAAACCGAATCAGTTGTATGTAAATATCGACGAAATTTTCACCGGTGACACACCATGTAACCAGCGGGAAAAACGGACGTGTTGATGATACGTTTCTATGGACGGGGTTTGCGATAATTATTCGTTGAGGGCATCGTACCATAATGCCAGCTAACCTAAACTAGGGACGACGGGCGGCATGATGGCTTCCTTTGCATGATTAGATATAGGAATAAGGTCCGTCGGTGAGGGCGCTACACAGCAACAGTCAGGAAGCATCATCTTTTCCCCGAGCTCCTCTGCTCGGCTTATATTCCAGACCTGGGTCAAATTGCATCAGCACGAAAACCTATAAATTATCGAAAAGAAAAAAAAAATAAGATTATATATATATATTAAAAGATAAGAATATTATTATCTTATTGTATAGAAAATATATTAGATTAAAATATTTTTTTGATTATTTGTATGTATGATTTAGTTATGATTTGAGAAATACAATAGAGAATTAACAAGTTGCAAACTGATTATTAGATTATAAATTATTCTCTTTAAATTATTTTAATATTAGAGAATATTTAATAAAATTATTTAATATTGATCCAAATATGATTTTAAATATTTTAGATATTTTAGATCTAGAAAATTAAATTTCAGAATGATTCATTTTAATTTTAATTATAAATTCGTGAAATCTTTAAGCTTAATTAAAATAATAATCAATCTTTGCATTCTAATAATATTTTTATACCTGATCTGTAGGCAATAACGTGAAATCATCTGGAGGATTTGTAATGACGTATCGTTTAGAAGAAGCATCACACGATGAACTTGTATCTCGAAACCTAAAATTGTATCAAGAATTAGTCGAGGTACGCTATTTTTGGCGTAAACATAAACTTACTTGTTAAGCTAAGTACATTAATATGTACGATTAAACTAAACTAAAACTAAAACTAAAACTAAAACTAAACTAAACGCTGGCAACAGTAAACTAAACACTAAACAAATAAGTGATACAAAGACAATCATAAAAAATGATGAGTATTTGTTGGATGAAGGCAACTTACGATCGTCGCTTCTTTTTTTTATTTATTATGACGCAAAAACGCAAAATGCAAAAGTGTGCGGCAAAAAACCAAAAGTTATAGTAAGTACAAGAAATAGTAAAAGATAATTAATGGTAATATAATTAATATGGCAGCAAGATGAAAGATTTTTCAGAAGAAAGATATATATACATATATTATATATATGCATATATATATATATATATATGTATATGTATATATATATATGTGCTATAGAATATTCATGTGGTGTAATCCAATAAATACCATCGAGAGAAGGAAAAAAGTCCGGTACCTGTACCTGTACAGACCAATACACAGCATTCCATATGACTTTAATGCTGCGACAAAGAGGTCACCGTACTTGCCTCCTTCGCCATACTGGGCTAATGGCCCGTCGTATAATGCGATTTGACCAACTCGACATCGATCTCTATTGGCCAAACTATCAGGTGTGCTATGGATAAAGAAATAAATAATAAATCATAATTTTTCTTTTACAAATAAAAAAATATTAATATTTTCGTATGTTCTTATGGACAAGATGTCTTATCGTTTATATAATATCATGAACATTGATGTATCATAAATGTCATAAAATATTATATATGATATTATAGATGAAATATTACGCATAAAATTGTAGCTTGTATAATATTATGAACAAAATATATCATATAGCAGTATTGTTAATTTTTTAAGCAGTTATATCATATATTATATATGTGTCATTACCAAAATTATTACATAGCTTAAATAATATATTCATATTATAGAAATTTTTATATAAATATTCATTTGATATATAAGTCAGAATAATTTGTACTACTGTAAAATGAATACTTTTAGTAATGAATCATAATAATATTTTGCAAGATTTATGTGATATTTCATTATTCATTATCGTATGTTTTGTTTCAGACGAAATGAAAATAACAGAAAGAAATTAAAATTTTTGCAAAAATATAATCTATCGTTTATTTTCTTGGTTTTGTAAATAGATGCTTTCAATTTTCGGATATAATATATTCTAATAAATATATGAGATATTATGAGACATTATAACATCGTATAAAAAATATGACATTAAATATTTCCTTTTTACTGTCCAATTATAAAAAAAAAGCAATATTTACTGAAAATTCGATAAAAATTAATATAAAATTTAATGGCTTTAATTAACATTTTATGTAACATAATTACTGCTCTTCTTATTTATCTTTGCTAGCTAAAGACAATAAGTATTTTATTAATTTTTTAATAAAATTTTCATAAGAAAATATTATGTTATATTTTAATACTATTTAATATTAAAATAAAATACAAAATATTATATTATTTTGTAATTATTGCTTTTTTCTATAATTGGATAATATAGAATGAACAATATGATAATAGAAAAAATTAATTAAATCTATATTTGAATAAATTTTAAACTATCTTACCTATAACCTCCTCGTAAACCTGCTCCTTCAGCAAGAATTAATTCTAACTCAGGCGTCGCTCCACCAGTGATTAGAGATCGAATTAAAGTCAGCGCGTTCTGATTGAAATACGTCTATCGAAAGAAGAAAAAGGAAAATAAGTAAAAAAATTAATACATAGATATAAATTACGAAGCCAAACCTTTGTAAACCTAATGTATGATAAATAAATGATAATATGTGCGATAAATTGCCTATTAAATATTAACATTTTCACAATCAAAGAATGCAACTAACCGTCGACATTAATGAATCTAATACGCTGACGGCAAAGGCAGTACCGCAAGCAAATGGTTGGGTAAGGTACAGTTCTGTGTCCGGATCATCGTCGTCGTCCTGGTCAAGGAACTGCACGTTGCTATCGTTTACGAGTTCTAGAAAGATAATAAAAAGACAGCTTTAAGGATGTATCAATATTTTTTGATAAAGTATCATTCTATTTTTTATATACGTATTCTTTGCGTAATAATAGCTATTATTTATTAATCAAAATTTCAAATATATTATTTATTAAGATAAAATAAATATCTAATTTTATAAATATTAAAAGATTCATCGACAAATTTTATTCTCCACATTTATTAAAATTCTTCATTTTGTTAAATATCTAATTAAAAAAATTTATATATTAATTAAATAAATATTGTTCAATGAAATATTTTGAAGTGATAAAATATTTTTTATTTAAATTTTTTAATTAATTCGTGAAAATAGATTCATAAAATTTTAGGAAGCTTTGATATAAAATATAATGCGCATAAATAAATAGATAATTAAAAAAATAATAATAATAAATAATGAATTTGATGCGTTATACCTGTTATCATTGGCACGTTTGCTCCATAAACGGATCCTCGTCGCTGCAAAACGATTGGGCTGCCAACTGCGGTCAAATTACCTTGTTCATTATTTGCTGGAATTGTCACTTAACATTTAATTATCGTATACGCGATAGAATATAGGAAAATGTTAAATTCAAATTATTATTATTCTAAAATTAACTCTTCAATTGCTATAGTGAAATTCTTTAATGAAGATAACCGAATAAATAATAATTTTAATAGATATAATAGATATTATAAACTTAGAAATTATCTTTAAAAACTTAGAAATTACTGAGATGTTCGACAAATATATATGTTAAGAACAAAATTATGAAATTTTGTAATTTTTGGATTTTGTTTAGAGAAGATGAATATTTCATAATAGCAGTTGAAGATTAAGACTAGTACTAATACGAACCTTGGCTCAGCACACCAATGGTGTCGTCGAAAGTCATAGCTTTGATATTAAGGGACGCGAGGATGGCTTCCTTGTCGGCGAGGGTGGGGTCATCGTTGCTAGGCACTTTAGCCGACAGGATACAACACATGTCGCACAAATTCACGTTAACGGCACGCAGATCTGCTCTGCTTAATGGTGAACCCTGCAAAAATACAGATATAATTATATTACAAATTCATTCTTACAATTTTAATACAGAGAAATTTTCGAAAGAAAATTAGAAAGAATTATAATACAGAATATTTGAACATTTGAACGAAAAATATTATTCCAAATTATTCATTAATTTAAACAAATGAAATAATTTCACAAATCACAAATATAAAATTCACTTGCATTATTCGCTAATGCATAAATATAATTTCATTTTTCAGTCGAGAATCCGATTTTGACTATCAGACTGGTGAACTGTTTATACATTCATGAAAAATTCAAATGTAAAAGAAAAATTCACAAAACAGCATCTATGTAATATGCAAAGAGACACGAAATGTCAAAAATATAATGATCATTGTAATATCTTGAAAGTAAAACAAATCTCAAATCAAAAATTAAGTTTTTATGTTTCATTAATAAAAATTCGAATTTGCATAATCATCCGCACTATCTTAAAACATATAAATCTTACAGGTATATTCAAGATATAACAAAAAAAAAAAATTAAACGAGAAATATGTCTTACGTTTAACACCGATATCTTCGGTAGATTCTGCAACATCTTCCACTCGCGGCGGATGTAATCCACAGACCCAACTATTACTACGTGTTTAAGCTCGTGGTAATGAAAATTGGAAGCTCGTAATGGCATGACAAGGTTTCTCAGTCCGATGAGAGGCGAGTCGGGATCGGCGAATAGGCATACGACGACATGTCCGTTCAAGACTGTCATCGCCGCCTGATTACGATCCAATATACAGTCTTCGAGGTTACGGGATGGACTCCAATGGAACATACCCGTTGAATCGTATTTCATTTCGGTCTTCTCGAAATCGAAGTCCTTCGCCTGATCGTCGGCTATTCCGACTTGAAGACCACCGTTGTTGTTCACATTCGTACCGCCCGAGGCTCTGCTCGTTGGCCTAAAAAAGATAAATCTCACTTTTTATCAAATGATAAGTATCAATTGTTTATATATATCTTGGTAAAATGTTATTTCATTAAAACAACAAAGTACTAATATGTTAGAATATAAGTATGATATCTATTTGATATAATTTTCCATGGCTATTTTATTTTTTGAATAGTTGTAAATATAGCTAAGCTAATCCTGAAACGCTCAAGCGGATAAATATGAAAATTATAAGTTAAAGAAGCGATATAAGTGTTAATAATGATATTGTTTAATTAATTAATATTATCAATAAAAAATCGTTGGCCAAAGATAATAATTTAAGATTTTTTAAAAATATTATAAAATGCATAAAAATTTTAAATCGATAATGAAATAAATATTATATAATCAAGAAACATAATTTAAAGTTTTATTTATTATTAAGGAAAAAGCAAAATGAGAAATTGTTGACAGGACAGAATGATAAAATACGGAATAAATTACAGATATATGGAATAAATTATTTGAAACATTAATATGAAAGTAATAGATACATTTAGATTTTTTATTTTTTATACTTTATGTAATAAAAGAAAAAATTAAAAGTATAAGAAAATTATAGCAGATTTTACGTAAAAATAATAATTTAAAGCTTTCATAGAACGAGAGCAAACTTATTGCTAAACCTAGTAATATTGAAAGTGATCTGTGTTTAGTCTGAAAGCATACATTTAGGCGCAAGCGTTTGACACAGAAAATCCTATCTGGATACATATGTAATGCGTTTAGCAACAAAGCATTATAGCAAACGTATATATCTAAACCAATTGAACCACTTAAAATACATGTTCTTTGAAACACTTACGTTTTACGAAATTGATTTTTGTTGTGAATGTATAAAATTATAAAATATAGTTAACTAATTACTAGAATTTTTTATCTTTCTTTTTTAATGAAAGAATAATGTTCGTGAATATTTTTTAATTTAATGATATTATTTTAATATTTTTCAAATTTTTCTTATTATTTCGCAACTTTGAAAAAAATCATTGATTATATATTACATTTAACGCTTATAAGAAATACTATTTTATTTTGTTTGATTTCATTATATAAATGGATATAACTTATTAATTATATTTTATCAATATTATTGTATATATGTATAATTTGTTTTTTGTATTAGTGTCGAGCAGATTCGTGATAAATCGAAAATAATATTTCCATATAGATAAAATTTTATTTTCAATAATATTAACATTAATTATTAATTTAATAAATATTTTATGATAAATATAAATAGAATAACAATGAAATCATATTGAAAAGAAAAAATTAATATAATTGTTATTATAAAAAATAATCGATTATATATTAATTTTCTATATTGAAGTTATTTCACATATATACATATGAATGATGATAAATGCTTTAATTACACAAGCAATTAATGAAACATTCGCATGCAATTCGCAAACAGATTTCTATATCGCAAAACGAAATTAGTGTAGAAAAGAGAACATAATGGCTTAACGTGACAATTAACGTAAAAATAAAAAGCGTACATGAGCTTTTTGACTTCGTAGGCGAGATGGTAGCCAGGGTATGCGGACTCCTCTTGCGATCTGGAATCAGAAGGTATTCGTAACGTTGGATTCGTCGATTCGTAGATGCTCTTTCGTTCGCCATCGAATAACATTGAATCGTAATATCAGGAATAGAATTAAAAATTGAATTTATGAGCAATATAACAATAAAGATTCTAGTAGTTAGTGATCAAATTACAAAATTTTAAATGTTTCATCGATTAAAATATAATTTATGATTAATGATTTATTTTTAAGATATTGAAATGAAATAAAGTTACGAGGAAAAATTATATTATACAGTTTCCTGCAAAAAGTGTTTGTATTTTTGTCAAAAAATCTACAAAAAGCAATTTTTGTTTAACAAAATAGTTTATACTAATTTATTCAGAGCTTATTCAAAATGTTCCAGATTAAAACTGACAAATTGTATTGATATATATTGTATATTTGTATAATTGTATTGATATATTTGACAAGTTATTTTGAAATAAATACATATATTATGTACATTATGAATCAATTTATTTTTGATCTAGAGATATAAAGAATGAAGTAATATAAATTACAAATAATCAGATGCATTCAAGTTATTTAATTTTTAATCTTGATTTTTAATCATAATTAAATTTGTATATATTTGAAATTATATATATTTTACATTGATTTACATTAATATACACTGATTTTAAAAAATAAATAATAAATCTTAAATAAATCTGGTTATTTGTATTTATGTCATTTAATCTTTTACATCTCGAGAACAAAGATAAATTAAACCATGATTTGTTTCAACCTACTTTTTCTTTAAAATGATTTTTCAAATATGTTAGCAACGTTTTAGAATACCCTGAAATAAAGATAATAATCTCTAAAAATATTTTTAGAAAAATAGTTATTAAAACAATCAAGAATAAAATATTATTATTATTCTAATTTCATTTTAAACAGTGACTAATAAATTTGATAATAAGCGGATTTTATCGCACAGGAATTTTTCGCGACTCAGCCGTATACAATAATTATAGAAGCACAGATGAGCGGTTTATCCGTGCGGGTGAAAGCTGACTTTTAGATATTGTAGGGGAAGGAAAATAGGAGAAGAATATAATAATTTTATATTTCATGGATTGCCATGAAATTTATTAACATGCGATATATATATATATATAAATGTATAAGTATTAAATTGGGGAAGAAAATAAATTATTGAAATAAAAAAATTATGCTTGTCTTCATAATTTTGCATAATTATTATTAATTAGTTTTAATAATTATTTTAACTCAAGAAATGTTATATTTTTAAATAAATTTATTATATAAACTTTTAAAATATATAAATTTTAAAAATTGAAAATCATACTTAGATATACTTAGATACTGAAAGAAAAAGATTGATTATGAAGCAGTAAGTAATTATAATGTACACTTTAATATTTCATTTAAATTGCGGATTTTTATCTAATAACATATATATATATTTTTTATATGAATGTTTGGTTAGCTAGTCCAAAGATTTAAAAAATAATTTTTTTGCAATAAAATTTATATATAATAAAAATGAAAATTAAAAATTTAAAAAGTTACGTTTCTGGTTTTGTTTTTTTGTTATTAAAAATTAAAAATCAACAAAAATAATCATACAAAATAAAAATCAAAATAAATCAAATGAATATAAAATAATTTAAAAAGTGGAAAGCATGATGATTCTCAAATGTTTATTTTGTATATTTACTGTATAAGTTTACTTTGTATAAATCACAAAAAAGGAATAACTATATTTTATTTGATATTGTGTAAATTACTTTTTAATTAAACTCGAATAATATTTATTAATAAAAATTGGAATTTATATCAACTAAAGAACTTAAGATAATTTTTAAATTGATTTAAAATTTTTAACATATCATTAATAAGATCATTATAAGCAATATTTTTCCAAAAGTAAATATACCTGTCACGTAGCTTACTTTAAATTCTATTAAAATTAGTAAAACTTTAAATCGCTATAACTCCATAGAGAATGATTTTAAATCGACGAATGAAAGATTATTAGAAGCGGGGAATCTTGCCCTTTAAAATGCTTTTTCATTTATCCCGATACGATTTCCGGTTTCCGAGATATTGTCGTGTAAAGAAAAGAATAATTTTTAATCGTTTATTATCTCCGTCTTTGTTTCTCGCTCGGACCTCGTCTCTGACTTATTCCAAACTTCAGACACGTGACAGATATGATTCTTGGGAAAAACGTATGCATCTCCAGGAAAAAATGTAGGTCATGAGGCTCGCGAGCTTATTCATAATCTCCGCACTGTCTTAAGTATTATGGATGCTTTGAGTCTTCATATTTAACACATTGAGTCTTGGTAACCAATTGAAATATCAGGATAAAACAAAGAGTGACTTTAATGGCATGGTTTTCTCTATTTCCTATTATAAAATTTTTAGTTTCTTCTCGCGATTTTTACGTGGAAAACCGAAATTTCATTTTTAATTTTACATATATTATTACATATATATATTGCAATATCTTAATGTAGAATATATGAAGAATTTAATAGAATTTATAGAGAATTTTATTTTTTTTTATTTTAGAATTTAATTTTATTTTATATATATCATATATATTATATATATATATATATATATATATATATATA